CACCTGAAAAGAGGCACCTCCGGCCTCGACCAATCAACGCGCGACGCGCAGCCCCGCCCTCCGGCCCGCCCCGCCCGCCAGGTACAGCACCGACCAGGGTCGCCCCGCTCCCGAGAGCGGGCCCAGCGGACAGGGCTCGGCGCCCGGCTCCGTGCGGCTCCTACCTCTTGGTCCCGGAGGCAGTGGCGGCTGAGCGCACTGGATGGCTTCTCGGAGGTTTGGCAAAGTTGGCTCCACCGATGAAAACACTTGCCTGCAAAGCGTGGTACAAGTAAGTAGAACGTCCGCCTTCTGGCCCGCGGCGCTGCAGGAGAGATGGGAGTCGCAGCCCAGTCCCCGTGCGAAGCCCCGGGGATGGAGACAAGGACGTGGCAGGGACGGCCAGTGGGTGGAAACGGGTAAGCTCGGGTCCTGGGGTTCGTGGAGAGGACTGCACTTGCCCCGTCTTCTGGCTCTCCCAGCTCTCACCCTGCCTGTGCCTTCCCTTCCGTGCATCCACCCCAGCTCTCAGGGAGGACGTGGACTCCCTGCTCAGGAAGTACCGAAGCCTTCTCTCCTACTCCCTACTCCACAGTGCTGACCACTACTAGATCGTTCAAGTTTTCAACCAGCTTCTCAGTGCTTAGCCTCCGCTCCTCGCACAGGTCACATCGCATGGTAGGTGTTCAGCAAGTGGTTGATGAACGGGCAGGGACTGGCGTTATTGAGGTTCCCTTCCTCAGGTTATCACCAGAATCAACCCTGCCCCGCGCCCCGCTGGATTTTTCTAGGCCTCCAGCTCCGGTTCATTTTCGGGGGTTCACCCAGGTGGGCCATCTTGCTATAGCTTCATCCCCAAAGCTAAGGGATGTGATGAGGGAGAGGTCACTGTGGCTTACTCAGTAATCTGTATTACGGGTAAAAGTTTGATTTCAGGAATGTGTAAAGGACTACAGGGGTCCAATGATGGGTTTCAGATGGTCCATGAATTCCCTGAATTTGCACAAAGTTTTCTAGGAAGAGCTTTTCTGAGTCTCAAAGATAATCCCAGACCCAAAAACCTTAAGAACCTGCCTTAGACCAGGAGTCACTTAGAACATGTTAACCATCATCATCATCGTCATCATCATCTTAGACAATGACAATAAACACCAGCCCAGAAATCTCAGTAACAAGATGATTTTTTTAAATGGACCATCGAGATGATCCATAATAGCTTACATTAAGTTGTTAACATGAAAAACTGTATCTATCTAAACAAAGTAGGTGACACTTGCCCTGTTATGAAAGATAAAGGATCTCACCAAGCAAAGTAGATCAAGGGCTGAGTGAACAGCTTATGCAAAACTGGAAGCTAACACAGCACACGTTGAGGGATTAAGGTAAGGCAGGAAACTGGCATAAAAAATCATACTGAGACCAAAATGAAACAATGTCCTTTGGAATAACAGACCTTAGAAATACATCAAATCAGTAAAATTGTGAAGAAAGGCTTTATTTACCTAAAGAGTTAGTATACCAGTAAAACTGTTGAATTAGAGAAGGATGAAAATGTATGTGGATGTAGCTGCAAAAATTCTGAAGGGTTATTTCTGGGCATTTTGGTGGGTCTTTGAGATTGTGAATTCTGGTATTTTTAATGGGTCTAAAATGAAGAAAATTCACGTCTTTTCTTTCCTTGGTAGAACTCTAATTGCACTGAATTATGACTGCCAGTCATAATTATGGTCAGATTTTGGCTCCCAAGTAAACTGGAGAGGGAAAACAAGCAAGAGAGAAATCTTCCTGAGACAGCTGGGTGAGAGGTGGATAAGGGCGCAGAATGAACTTACAGGATATGTGTAAACTGTATATAACAAGGTGGAAATTATTTCATTCACCAAAATTTCTCTTGGGAAAGCATGAAGATATGTTGGAAGATTTTTCTTAGAATGAGGTATGAGACCTCCCTCCCGGGAGAATATGCTCAGGCACAACAAAAGTTGGTCATTAAACTGCCTTCTAAAGTTCCCATGAATTGATTACCTGATGGGCCTTTTCTTTTGCTGAGAGTGTGTTTAAGAAGGTAATGGAGCTGGGGGTTGGGGTGGGCAACTGGGTATCTGGCAAGAAAAATGAGCTGAGGTGACTGGCCCTGAGGGGAGGACCAAGAGAAAAATCTTTGGTGGCAGTTTAGCCAAGAAGGGACTACTGAGAAAAAAATGTCTCATAGGATATAACCCTCCCCCAGCTCCTACACAAGAGCTTCTTCAGTAATGATATGTCTGTGTGTGGGAATCCTTTGTGGGGAGCTTACAGAGGTGCCGAGTTCTATACCAAGGGCTGAAGGTGCAAGTAAAATATTCAGACACAGGAATCAGAAGGTAAGAGGACAGGTGAGAAAGGTATGTTCGGGTATAATCAATTTGAGCTTGAGCACTGAATAAAGCAATGAGAGCACCCTGCACTTGGAATCACCCTATGGAAAGGGGTATAAAGAACTTCTCTTGCTAAAGTCTGACTACTAGAGGCAGAGGTACCTGGAAGGAGTGGAAACTGTGTGATTAACTGTATTTGTACAGCCGTTTTCTCAAGCCAAGGGCATGAATCTGGGGGGACACATATTGGGGTACAGAATAAACCTACTTGGTGGGTTTTGGCTGTGACCAATCATGTTTCCAAAAACATGACTTAAATCCATTATATTCAAATCCATGTAGTAATTAATAATGAACAGAAAATGTGCAAAGGACTTTGAATAAGGCAGTAATGCATCCATCTGCAGCACAGCCCAGGGCTGGAGTCTTGGCTCTGGCACTTACCAGCTGTGTGATCATGGGTAAGTTACTTGACATCTCCCATGCCCCTCATCTTTTAAACTGGGGTAGGAATACCCACATCATCGATGGTTGTGCAACACCGTAAATTAACAAAAAAGCATTCAACTGAACACTTAAAACAGGTGAATTTTATAGTATGTAAACTATACTTCAATAAAGCTAATTTTTTTAAAAAAGGGATAAAAAGAGTACCCACATCATAGGGGGACCATGAAAATAAACATGTAAACTGGCACGTGCCTGGCGAAGTAAAAATTCAATAAATACTAGTGATTAGTATTAGTGTAATAAACAGATTAAAAATAGCACACTGAAGATATATAGTTAGATTTTTTTTACAAATAAGAATCTAGGTATTATTGGGCTGGTTGAAACTTGAGATCATTTAGTTCAACTCCCCTAATTTTACAGATGAGAAAATTAGGGACCAGCAGGTGAAGTGCCTTATTCAAGATTTGGTTCTAAGACCACACCCCAAGCCTGCTGGATCCCCACTAGTGCAATTCCTACTACCCACTGCCTCAGAAACACTGACATGTGAAGAACTGAGGATGTGTTTCCTTGAAGAAGAAAAAACACATAGGAGAACACAGGGAACTCATATAGAGACACTGAAGAAAGAGAATTCCAAAGCCAAGCGCACACTGCAAAGAGGCTGTCACATCCTGACCTATCAGCCAGGGTTCCCAGCAGTGGGGCCCAGGTCACAAGAGCTTAAGTGCTTTGGCGAGGCAGGGCCCTGGTCAGTCAGGTGGACTGGCTCATTCCTGTGGCCAGATCCCTGGTGACAATGAAGCCGCACAGTCCTCTCTGCTACTTTCTGACACAGGCTCTGTCAGCAGCAGCAGGAGCTGGGGCCAAAAGTGAATGCAGCAGAGTCCTTGGGAGCAGTCAGCCTGAGCAGCCCTGAAGTGGGGAGTGCTGCTTCTGTCCATGCTCAGTAGCCTGGCCTCACTTGTTTCTCCCCTGGCCTTGCTAATCAGCCCCTCTGGATTCTGAGGATCTTCTCCTACGATCCTGTCCATTCCCTGTCAATTTCCTCCATCATGGCACCCTCTTCAGATGACTGAGGAAGCCTAGCGGGAGATGTGAGATGACCCAAGCTTCTTGCTTCTTCATCAATGCTGCCACCTTCTAAAAGAACTTGACAGCATGTTTGGAAGATTTCGAAGCTAATAAAAGCTTACTGAATTATCCCAATGCTAAACAGTGGACATGAGAGAGGTGTGTCTTCAGGCCATGACTTTAACATTTCGGGGGATAATATTCAAGGAGTCAACTCATTCTAAGAGGTGGTGGAATCACATTCCTCCATTTTTCCTGAATGGTAACAATTTGGGCTAGATGGCTGGTATGGACCCCTCACATTTTGTGATCCACTAGGGGAGGAGGGAGGAAGGGAGGGGAAAAGGGACAGAGGAGAATTAAGGCCTGAAACAGCTTTTATGATTTAACTCAGTACATTGAAACTTCTCAATGAATAGTTCATAGCAGTGCCTCATCCTTTTTGACCAACTGTTTAAATGAAAATCAGCAGAAGAACAGCAGAGGTTCTGTCCATTCACTTGATCTGAGAACTTGGGGTGCAGATTAAGAACAGGAAGTCTGACTTCAGCTTTCCCGCAGAAAGCTCTCATGGCTTGCAGATCATTCCATACAGTGAACACTTTGATGTCGGAGGAGGTGAGAGCTCCGACTGAAGGTCTTCTGACACTCTTGGCACTCGTAAGGCTTCTCTCCAGTGTGAATCCTTTGATGGATGATAAGTTGGGAATGCTGGCTGAAGGTCTTCTCACACTCACTACATTCATAAGGTTTCTCTCCAACATGAATTTTCTGGTGGAGAAGCAGCTCAGAGTTATCCCAAAAGGTTCTGGCACATTCATTACACTGATGAGGTTTCTCTCCAGTGTGAATTCTCTGGTGGACAATAAGGTGAGAGGTCCGCCTAAAAGCCTTTCCACACTCGAAGCACTCATAGGGTTTCTCTCCAGTGTGAATTCTCTCGTGTCTAAGAAGTTCTGAGTTTCCCCTAAAGGCCTTCCCACATTCCTTACAAACGTAGGGCTTCTCACCAGTATGAATTCTAATATGTCTAATAATCTCTGAGTTTTGGCCAAAAGTTTTCCCACATTCATTACATTCGTACGGCTTGTCTCCTGTATGAATTCTTTGATGCCGGATGAGCTCAGAACTCTGACCAAAGCCTTTCCCACATTCATTACACAGATAGGGCTTTTCTCCAGTATGAATTTTCTGGTGTCTAATAAGGCCTGAGCTATGCTTGAAGGCTTTGCCACACTCGTTGCATTCATGATACCTTTCCTCAGTATGAATTCTCTGATGCTGAATCAGCTGTGAGCTCACCCTAAAGGTCTTCCCACATTCATTACATTCATATGGTTTCTCCCCAGTGTGGATTCTCTGATGAAGAATAAGGGCTGAATTCTGACTGAAGGCTTTACCACATTCTTCACATTTATAAGGTCTCTCTCCAGTGTGAATTCTATGGTGGTGGATGAGATGTGAACTCTGAATGAAGGCCTTTCCACATTCATTACAGGCAAAGGGCTTCTCTCCAGCGTGAATTCTTAGGTGCCTTCGAAGGCTTGAGTTAGTTCCGAATGTTTTTCCACACTCTTTGCACTCAAAGGGTTTCTCTCCGCTGTGAACTCTCATATGCTGAATAAGATGTGAATTCTGATTAAAGGCTTTCCCACATTCTTTACAAGTATGAGGCTTCTCTCCCACAGAACCTCTATGTGTTTTGTTAAGTCCTAAACTCTCTGCGAAGTCCTGGCCAGAAGCAGCGAACATGCCCAGCGCCTCTGCTGCAGCCTCCCCACGATGCGCCGGCAGGTTCAGGCTGGGCCTGCAGACTCTCCTGCTCTCACTACTCTCCTGGTCTTTCTCATGTGTGGGTGATTTCTTAAAGATTATCAGCCCTGATGCAAAGTCTCTCTCCTCAGGAGACGTCGGCTCCAATATCTCTTCTGCGGACTCTCTGGAACACCCCTCCAACGTGTCTTCTTCACCTGCTGCTCCAAACTCATGACCCTGGTAAACCACCTTTGGAAGTTTGTCTAATATGGCCCCATGGGGCTCAGAGTCTTCAGAAATTTCTTCCTTGGGAATTACCTCCTTGTTCTCAGTCCCCATCTCACAATCTGAAATGAGAGAGGGTAAGTACGTGAAGTGGCTACAGCGTAGCTAAGTGAAGCCAATGCTAGGGAGTATGGATGGGGCTAGATATGGTTCTGACAGCACTCAAGCACACTCTCAGGATGAGGTGAGGTTACAGGACACTGATGAAGAGAAGGAGGAGATTTAGGATTACGGTGGACGTGCTAAACAAACAGCAGACACTGACCCACAAGAGTAAGAGAAATTATCAGAGGAAGGGATTTAAGGAGAGAAATAGGAAATGGATGGTAAGGAGATGCTGATAAAAAGTTCCATAATATTTTTTTAATGGAGGTACTGGGGATTGAACCCAGGACTTTCATGCTAAGCACGTGCTCTACCACTTGAGCTATACCCTCCCCCTAAAAGTTCCATAATATTAACACTGAGTTGGGCAAAGCCTGAAATTGGTAAGAAAAACATTTAAAGGAAATGGTAGCCATTTTAATAAATGGTATATGGAAAAGGTTGGGAGAAGGGGCAAAAAGGACTAATATAATTTGGGGGTTTATAGAGGAAGTGACCAGAAGTGAGTAGCAGGAAGAACCATCTTTGGCCCAGTCCTGTGCTCAGCAGCTCTACAGAATGGGGGATTGTGTATGTTGTAGGGGTTACCCATTCAAAAGGTTAATGTGACTTAGCTACAACAGGCACAGAAGTAACTACTCTTACTTCCCTTTTATTTGGGTGAAGTAAGGTTCTAGTTTAATTGTATCAATACCTAATTTTCCCTACTAATTTGAAATGCCTTTTACCATAGTCTAAAATTCCAAATATAGCTGGGCCGATTCCAGACTCTATTCAGTTCTGATCTGTCTATTCCCTCTGTAATATCAAACTGTTCAACCTATAATAGTTTCAGATTTTTCATTATGTTAAAGTTCTCTCTCATTAGCTTGTTTTTCAAACATTTTTCCTGTCTATTCTCATATTTTTCCAAATAAACTTTAATAAAATTTTGTAAAATTTCCAAACTTAACCTGATGTTTTTACATCCATCAAGTTTCTGTATGTCTTCTCTTTTAGTAAGTTTTTCTTATATTTTCTAACTGGTTATCATTTATATATGTATATACAGCAATGCTGTTGATTTTTACATACTAATATTATAATTGGTCTCTTTATATAATTTTCTTAGCACTTTTATAAATCATAAAACCTATTCTTTTTAAAAACTTATAAAAGGCTGTGGCAAAGATTTTTAGTTGTCTACCCAAATTTCCATTCTTCCCCGCCTTATCAGAAACAGAATAATGAATTTATTTTTATAGCAATGAGCCTACCTAAAGAAATATCCTCAGCCTTCTTTACAACTACATTTGGCCAAGTAACCAACTTCTAGCCAATGAGACAGTCATATGCAAATGAAAGCACAAGGGACTTCTGGGAAATCTCCTTAAGGGTGAGGGGGTACATTTCTTTGCCCTCTTCTTCCATGCTGTGCCCAGGGCATGAGGGGACAGATGGGGTGCCATCTTGGACCATGAGTACACCGACATAGCCTACGACACGACCATAGCCAGAAGGAACCTGGGTCCCTGATGACTCTGTGGAGCTGCTGTACCAGCACTGAAATGCCTGCCTCTGGAATTCTTCTATCTAAGAAAGAAATAAGTTTTTTCCTTGCTTAAGCCATTATGGTTTTTTAATTTATAAAGCCAAACTTGCTCCTAATTGGTACAATGGCCCTAGGTATTTAGCTGTCCCCTCACAGAAGTAAGGTCCAAATGCTGGGGAAGTGAGCCTCACTTCTGTTCAGGGAGTAAGCAACCGAGAGCTAACACTGAAGAGGCCCTGTGTCTAGGGCAGTGCACCTGTGGCGCCACAGCAAACCTGAGGACACAATCCTCCTATTGGTAAGTGTTCATTGCAGAAGGTAATGCTCAAAGTGGAGCGGGAGGCTATGGGACTTCATCCTCATAATGCAGAGTCATGGGATGGTTTTTAAGCCAAAGAATGACACAGTTTATGGTCAGATTAGCATTTCAGGTGGATGCACGCTAGTCACCACATAGTGGTTGTAGCAGAAAGCAGCAGACTGGGACATAAGGAGACCAGTTAAAAGGCTGAAGCAGTCATCAAGGCAAGGGGTGATGAGATCTAACTAGGGTAACAGCAGTAGTGGGAATGAAGCGGAAACAGACTAGAGAAATGTCTAAGAGGACAAATTCTGTACGACTTGGTGTGTGATTGGATATAGATGTAAAGGAAGGCATAATGAGATGGACAGTGGTACCACCGAGGTCAGAGATACTGAGGAGCAGCTAGTTTAGGAGGAAGATGATAGATGAGCTCTGCTTTAGACAAGATGAGTTTCAAGATATCCATACAGAAGTATCAAGGAATAAGTCCAAATGTGTTGGTCTAAAGCTCAGAGCAGTCAGGACTGGAGATGGAGACAGTAATGAGTAATGTGAGAACTGTCAGCTACTGCAAACAGAAACCTAGAAAGCCAGAGGCCACACTGAAGCGTTAACTTCCATGTTCCCTCCAGATCTTTCAACCTTTCTCTACCTTCGCTCTGCCCCAGGAGGGGAACCTACACAGCACACATCAACAGGCCCTCTGGCTTCCAGTAGTGTTCAACCACTGGGGAGCCCCAGTAGGAGGTAGGGAGGAGAGTAAGGTCAGGGTATTTACCCTCCTGGTTCCTTCCTATGAGGTGGCCTTGGGCTCATGGTGTCCCTCAGTTGAAGTTCATTACACCTCTCAAGGAGTCTATCCTACCCAACTGTCTCTATGGGATCTGGGCCCTCTCCTACCTCTTGTCTCTTCTGGCCTGGGGTGGTGACTACTCCACTATTGCCAGCCCCAGGTTCCTCAATCCCCGCCCACACCTACATCATTTATAATTAACATCTTTGCAAATAAACCCTACTCAAATTATCCTACTTTGAGTGAAGTACCCGTTTCCTGTTAGGACCCTAATGATAAATGGGTAGGTGAAGCCTGCCAAGAAGAGAAAGAATGGTTAGTGAAGTAGGCAGAGAACCAGACACAGCGTCACAGAAGTCACCAGGGCAATGCAGAGGGAATTACAAAGCATCACGTGCAGTTGAGAGATCCAGTAGGGTAAGAACTGGAGAACATCCACCGGGACAGTTAGTCACAGGTGACATGTGAGAACAGAGTCTGTGGAATGACAGAAGCAGAAGCCAGGTGGCGGTGGACTGATTAATACATGTGCTGCTCCTTTCAGAAAATCTGGATGAAAGGAGAGAACCAAGATGGGCAGTAGCGCAAAAGGTCAAAGAAAGGTCAAAGAGGGATCTTCTCTGATGGAAGAAATCTCAACATGTTTACATTAGAAAGGATGGTGTCAGTGAGAGACAGGTTAAGAGGGAAGAAAAGATGAGATTACTGAAGAAATGAAGACCCTGAGAGGCAGGAGAGACTGGGGTCAAGTTGTGAGGAAAGGGGAAGGTGGTGATTTTGAGGTGCCTTTTGTACTGCCCTTTTGCTCTGCCCAGCCTCCAGTCACCCCCAGGATGGTAGTTACTACCACCCGCCTAGCCTGAGGCCTCTCTAGTCACTCACCAGTGCAACCCTCGTAAGTCCCCTCCCCTGACACCTGGAGGGATCCTGATCTCCTGCTGGAATCTTGAAGCCTTGGAAGCTCTTTGTGCTACACCTGAAAATCACCGGGGAATCTTCTTCAACTTTCCCCCACTCAGAGCCTTCTCTAATTTTCCCATGGAGGAAGTGCAGGTACCCAAAACCTGGATTTCTCCTTTTTGTTCAATTTTTGAAAATTGTAGATGTGTACCTATATAACTGTAAGGATCCACTGTAGAGAATTTAGCTATCTTCTTCATCCAGGGTACCGTTTGGGTTAGGAAGCACTGTTTTAAACAAATTTCTCTCTAATGCTCATCCAAGAACAAGTTCCACAAGGTGGTATTTCAGTCCTAATCTACTTCTGACCCCCTCTCTAGCCTTTCCTCTCCACCTTTATCTCTCCTTTAGTTACTTCTTTTCCATCATCCATCTCCTGACAAAGTCAGCATTCATAGAACCTATATCTGGAAAATCACTTGTCCACAGTAAAACAAGATGCAAGATATAAAAGTTATCTATGTATCTATCCCCAACTTTAAGACCTGGTTCAAAATTCAAATCCACAAAGTCTTCCCCAACTAAAACTGGCCTCCTGTGAGTATTCTCTTTCTGTTGTTGTTGTGGGGAGGTAATTAGTATTTTGGTTTTTTTTAACAGGGGTACTGGGGATTGAACCCAGGACCTCATGCATGCCAAGCACGTGCTCTACCACTGAGCTGTACCCCTACCCCCACTGATTATTCTTTCACTTTGCATTCTGCCAGTGACATAATACTAATGTCATTTGTTAAATATTGTTTTATAGATACTTTCTCATATACAAATGAAAGCCACCCTCTGTATTTTCCCAGAGGCACAGCCACACATTAGATTTTGTCCTCATATGGAAACACCCCACTACTCACAGCCCAAATTCAAATTTCCAAACATAATTTCATATATGTATGTTTCTCACTTCTCCACTTTTCTAACCTGAAATTACTTGCTTCTGGAGAGAGAAAAGACGGAGGTGCCACCTGGGGAGGAGGCTGACCTCAGTCTGGGGGATGACAAGCATCTACTGGGTCTCCATGGTTCAGAATAAGATCTTCACACAAAAAATCGATGGGGGAGGGGTAAATCAGGAGTTTGGGATTAACAGATAAACACTACTATACATAAAATAGATAAATAACAGGAACCTACTATATAGCACAGGGAACTATATTTAATATCTGGGGAATAACCTATAGTGGAAAAGAGTCTGAAAAAGAATAGATAGATCCATGTAACTGAATCATTTTCCTGTATACCTGAAACTAACACAACATTGTAAATCAACTATACTTCAGTTTAAAAAATCAAATTAAAAAAGAAAAAAACAGTTTAGGGAAAAAAACCAGAATAGGGTCTTCAACTCCGCACACCTTGTTTTTTGTTTTTTGGT